CATGAATCGCCTACCCGTACGTTTTGGCGGCCCAATGGACATAGATTCGGAGTATACAGAATATCCGTTAGGTCCCGATAGAGCTTATCGGAAGCTAGTGTCCACTATTTGGATAGATGTTGGTCTAGGTGCTTGGCAGGCTCACGAGTATATAACATGGTATATTCGGGAGGGTGATGAAATTTTTTGTCCGATCCGTGGTTTCAATGGATCCCCAGCAGGCGGTACCAAGGAGGTTTTGTGGGATCCTATAGAGCTCGATATCCCAGATAGGGAGGTGATCGATTCGGACATCGGTTCGTCTAATTCGAGTTCGGAGGATTCGGACCCCGAGCCGGATTACATAGTATCTGATTCGGAGTCGCCACTGGGACCAAATGGGAGTTGGTGATGGGTTAGGACACCCCATACTTTTTGGACCGACCTACTGATGGTAAAGTAGATTGACTCTAGCCTGGTATCTTTTTGTAGGCTTTTTGTGGAAATGCCTAAAGTGGGCTTGTAAAGAAAATGTTTCCTAGGGGTTAACTAAGTAAATATTAAAATAGTGTTGTTGTTTGATTGCTGTGAATCGTTTTCCTACCTATCCCTATTTATTATTATTGTCTAGGTGTTGGTTGTTATCGCTTCCGCACGCGTAGTAAAAATGAAAGGGTCGGCGACAAGTCCTGAGACGTCGCATCATAATAACCGTTGTGGGATGTTACACGCTCGCAGGGTTTGGGGCGCGACAGTCGGTCTACGGACGACGATGCCCTGAGGAGCCTGTCGAGAAAGCAGGATGCCGTGGGCCGGTGGTCCACGTTGCCTAGGAAGAGCCATGCCCTAGATGCCCCGAGAGTACGAACGGGATGCCATGGTTAGAGGACTTACGAAGCCTGCACAAGCCGTTGAGTAATCCAGCATATACTGCAGCAGACCGGACTGGGCGAACCGGACCCTGCTAATCAGGATGTTCCTCTATTCGTAGCCGGGGAGCGCACCGGACATGTGTCTTGGAGTGGTGATTAAAGTTTGATGAATGTCACACAACGCCTGCAACGTATGCTCGTGTGAATGGCTATTCATTGATTGACAATCTTTTAGCCTGGTGATTAGTGCTCGAATGAAAAAGAGAGTTCATGTATGCTATGGCTGGTTGATGATTGGTTTAGTTGCCTATATGATTGACCTTATTGAGGTGTATGATATTATCTGTTTAGTATGGCGTGATAGAGCTTACTTTGCTGAGCTTTCGCACACTGTTTATTGTTGACACTTTTTACAGATTAGTAGCCATGCCGATGCTCCCCGCGTCAACCTCTATTAGCTACGGGGTGCCCATTGATTTTGAGGGCCACCCGTATGAGTTTGAGGACCCTGGCTTTCCGGGAATTGTGTTTGTGAAGTGTATCTTCATCCTGACTGTTGATATTTGGTCCCCTGTGGGACCCATTCTTTTGGGTTTTATCGCTATTTATGCACGCGTTGGAGGACGATTAGTGGGACCACTCCCATACTAGGGGCCGGATGGAGCTGATGATGACACTAGTAGTGAGGTTGAGTGAGGACAATACCAAGGACGAGGAAGGAGCAAGTTTTTGGGAAAGACACGACAGTCATTTTTTTGAGATAGAGTCATGTAGTGCTGGGTGATAGCCTTGTTTGTTTTTTGTTAGGGCTAGTGGGTCACAGTGTTTAGCCGGGTTGGAGTAGTTATGGAGTCCCCTCGTGTTTTGAACTCACTTTTGTATCACCCGTATTATTATATGAGATGGATGGTATTTCCATAGCTTGCGTGTCCTTACACTTATATATGTCGATGTTTCTATATCACATTCATGTTATAATGCTGACCTTTAGAAAGAAGCATCTTCCGCCTGCGAATAATATGATAACTATTGAAAATTAGAGGATTCATCAATGAAAGGGGCAGGCTCGGGACGCTACTAAACAAGAGTGAATTATCCAAGCAGGTGATTCTATGCACTTAAGGTTTAGGGAATCAAATCTACTTCGTGCTCAGTTTAATGGTTATAGTCGATAATCATTTTGTACCGAAAAATTACCTAATCAATTATGAATTTATTGTACTGATATCAATTCTTTTCGAAACTTTTTATTTTTGCCAATTTAGTCATAAACCTTTGCGAGAAATTCCAATATAGCCATTTCGATCAATTTTTGCGGGAAATCGTTAACGTGAAGGTTCTGTCATTGCCGACTACCCTACATGGCACACTGCAAAGTCAACAATTTCCAACGAAATTTGGTTGAAAGAATTACATTGCAATTTCATGAAAAGATTTAGGACTTAATTGGTAAAACTGGAAAATTTATTACTGAATTGGCATCCATATAATAAGTTTAGGACTGATTGGACAATTCCCCCATTTTGTAAAGCTGGATACTACCAGGCTATGGCTCTACGAGATTAAACAATTATTAGTGTCATGGTACAAGTTATTGTTTAGGCTTATTCTAACAAATATTGTCAATCCCATATAATAAGAAAAACAATGCGACCTCCATTGATCCCACTTAGAAACACGGTTTTATATAGTTTTTATTGATTACTACGTTGCCCATAAAATAAATGTATCTAATTTTTTTTTTAATTAGTAAGATTAGAGTATGACCAAAAACATTAGGAAGATTAGAGGAGAAACTCTTTTGTAGACTCAGGTCCATGGACTCAAAGCAATCACGGCCATCGGTCATGAGGGACTCATCGGTAATGATAAACTCGGTATATGTAGATAAGCATAAAAAAAAAAACAAAAAGAATTTTCGAAAGAGAGAGTCATCCACACAACTTCCAATATTGAGTGATGACAAGGATGGAGAATAGGGGTGAGCATCGATTTGGTTCCAAGTCGGGATCGAGACCGATTTGACTAGTTCTAGGGGACTCCTAGTTCCCAAAATTTGGAACCAGCGGTTCTCGGTCCAATTCTCGATTCTAGGTGCGGAATCAGACCGCCCGGACCCGATCGGACTAATATATTTTTTTTTATAATTCTTTTTCTCTTAAAGAGTAAAGACGTTTGGGATGCATTCCATTCTTACCTTCAGCAGAAATGAAGTAATGACTACAAATTTGTTTGTACATATATATGCATTTTTAAGTATTTAACATATGTTGATACGACACCATGTAATAGAGTAATAACAACAAAATCTAGTGGCAGACTAGTCGATCATCAATTAGCGCCGCAACCTAATCACATAAACATTTATTTAACGAAAGATGAAACTAATGCTCTTTTTTTGTCTTTTAATGTTGGAAACTCTCAGTTTTAGCTCTTTAACCAAGAAGATGCATATGGAAGGAACAAACAAAAATTGATGCGGAAAAGAACAAAATACAAGGTGTAACTATTTGAATTCATCGCAACATATTGAGGTACAATTGCTCTAGTAGATGGTGGAAGCGACATCACCATGTGCAAGCAAAAGCCCATTTGAAACTTTTGGAGTTCAAGATGTAAGGAATAGAAGAAACCAAAAAATTAAAAATTAACAAAGGAATTACCGGTTCTGGGATAGACCCTAGAACCTGATCGAACTGGTCGGTCTAGTTCAGAACTAGGAGGGCCGATTTCCGATTCCACAAACGGGGAACCGACCCTGTTCAGTCTAATTTCAAGGTGGGAATCGACCCGGCTTGAAACCGATCGCCCCTAATGGCGAAGCATGGTCTCGAAAACTAGGACCGAGATTTGAGATGGCAATAGTTACCTTGCCTAGCAAGGTGTAGGGCATGAGGTGGGAATGGGAACTATGTTTCCATCTTGAGCGAGTCACAGGACGAAAATCCATTGGTAGGGAGTTTAAAACGGGCTATGTTTTCCTCCATATAGATTGATTTGAGGAATTTGATTGGCGAGTTATTTATATGAACATTATCTCTGTGCAAACTGTAACTATATATGCGGACAATATCCATGTTTGTAATCCGCAGATCAAAAGAGTTGTAGGAGGTCCTCTAATCAAGGATAGAGAAAAACATGACTCTTTTTAAAACTAGATAGAGAGGCCGTCTTTACTAATATATTGAGCAAAACACGAGGCTGTCCGGTTCTAGGGTAGCAATCGACCCACCGGAAACCGAACACCCCAAATGACAAAGCCGGAGTTGGTTAATCTACACAGCCTCCGAAATTACGATCGAGATTTGGGATGGCAACGGTACCTTGCCTTACAAGGTGTAGGGCATGAGGTGCGAATGGGGACTACATTTCCTTCCCAAGCGGGTCACAGGACGAAAATGAATTGACGGGGAGTTCAAAACCGGCTGTATCTTCGTCCATATATGACTGATTTGAGCCATTTGATTGGTGAGTTGTTATATGAACACCATCCAAGTGCAAACCATAACTATATATGCGGATAATGCCGATGTTTGTAATTCACCGATCAAAAGAGTTGTATGAGATCCCCTAATCGAGGATAGAGAAAAACATGACTAGAGAAACGTCTTTACTAATATATTGAGCAAAACACAAGGGTATCGTTGCAATTCCCGCAACTAGAATCTAAAAGACGAAATATTTTATTTGGTGGACGTACATGACTCCTAAAACCAAACCTAGGTTCTTCAATGTCTAATCACGATGATTACCATTACCCTGTCTTAATCTCTAGTGATAGCTAAGGAAGAGGACTAAATAGGAATCTCCACCGTCACAAGACGGTTCGATCAATGTTCAAGAATCCAAGGAACACCAAACGTGGCCGTTCTCCTTATATCAAGCCGTCATGCGATCGAAAAACTAGACAAACAACGTATGGACAATGCGAAATAATCCCTTTCGGCAACGAAAATCAACGAAGAAAATTGACCTCTCTTGCAACCACAAGTACACATAGTGACACCACAATGCAAGTGGTGACCTACTTAGAAACAATGTATATTCACGTGCAATCCCCAAATGATCCCCAATCGATTCTCTATTTAAAGCACATGAAACATCACTCCCTCTCTCGTGGCCAAGAAGCAAGCATAACCCTCGAATTGGAGAGACTACGAGTGTCTGTCATTACTTAGACAACAACAAGATGGAGGCATCCAGCAAGAAGGCGGCGATTCTGTTGGGATTGATGGTGGCGATCGCTTGCTGCGCCGATGCACAGACCATATGCAACATGACCTACTCGGAGCTGATGGCCTGCAAGCCGGCCGCGACGCCGCCGAACCCGCCACCGCCCACGAGCGAGTGCTGTGCAGGGCTCTCGCACGCGGACTTGAAGTGCTTCTGCCAGTACAAGAACTCGACGATCTTGCCCTCGATCGGGGTCGACCCGAAGCTCGCGATGGAGCTCCCCAGCAAGTGCAAGATCCCTAATGCGCCCACATGCTGATCGCATCGCATTGTGCGGGTGCGTGTGGGGTTGGAGAGAAAGTACTAGCCCAAAGCTTTACAATAATGCATATCATGTAGTATGCTTTTTCTTTAAGTGCTTAATCTCTGTGTGCTTTGTATAATTAATACACCCTTTTATGAGCTCTTGCTCACTCTATGGATACCAGCTTATAATATTCTGACAGAAATGTAAAGGAAGAAGGAATATTGAAAATTGTACTGTTGTATTGTACATGGCAATATTTACAGTACCAAAAAGGATCAAAGAAAGAATAAACATGATACATTCTCTATTTTATCCCAATTGAATGAATCAATTAATTCTCAATCCTCGATTGACTGAATCGATTAATTCTTGATCTTTGTGATTAGAATCGGAGTCAAGAACCAAATCGGATCTTCCTCCAACACTCATCCTCAAGCTGGCAGCTTATATATGTCAAAGATGCCTAGCTTTTTTAGTAGATACGCATGATGTCTCTTGCATAAAGGCTTAGTGAAAATGTCCGGAGGCTACTTCGCAGTTCCAATTCCTCGAGTTGTAATAATCCCTTCTTGAATCTTTTCTCGAGTGAAATGACAATCAACTTCTCTGTGTTTTGTCCTTTCATGAAAAACTGGGGTTGCTGCTAATTTGAGTGCTGCATCATTGTCACAAAATAATTCACTCGCTCCATGAATTTGTACCCGAAGATCCGATGGAAACCTCATATCCAAACTATCTCCCAAATAGTTTTTAACATAGCTCGATATTCCGATATAAAGAGACAGTTGATTGTTTCTTTGTCTTCCACAAGATTAGGGATCTTCTCAATTTAATGCAAAAACCAGTGATAGATCTTCTGATCATTGGGCAAGTCACATAATCTGTATCACAATAAGTCGTCATTTTCATGTTGCAATCGATAGACAATAGGATTCCAAGTTCTGGGCAATCAATTGATGGGGAGATGCAGAAGAAGGCCAATGAGGTGATGGAACAAAATGAGGGAAGCTGTGACAGAAGGTGGTGATAATGATAGGGGGTTATGAGGGCCATGGATGAGTTTGTGAGAACCATTTCTGAAAACTCCATAAATGCCACGTCGTTATATTGAAAGACAACATAAAAGATTTAGGTCACCTAATATCGAATGATTGATTCGAATAAATATATTTGTGTTTACACACCATCTAAAACATTTTCATGAACTACTCGTAAGAAAGAAGCCAGCATGACTAAGACAGGTTTGGTGATTGCATTCGACACTTTTTGGACCATGGAGTGTAGAATTTACCTTATACAGTCGTAAGTATCCCACAGACCTAGTATATATACTCAATTCAATATAAACCGTCAGATTTGGAGGAACCCATGTAGGATCTACATGGAACCTACCGTTTTCAATATAAATCAGATTTATTCCACCTATCCTCATAGGTGATTCGATGGCAGGGAGTGAGTCATGACCTTTTGTTTTGCCATAGAAGGGAAGAATTGGGATTTTGCTCTTATTCTTGAATATATTAGGAATTTTGGTCTTTTTCTCGAATACTGTCTACTTTTCTTTGTTTGCTAGGCAAATAAGACTTTATAGAATAAGTACAAAGTCTGGTAGTTATACATTAACTAATGGAACACAAAGCAGGCAGATCAAGCAGCCAAGAAGGCTACAGATGGGCATCACAGGGTTTACAGTGTACTTTTTAATTCACATGACAATCTAAACCCTATAGTATGCTCAATAGTCCTATCTTGAAAGATTCCACTAAAAAATAAAGCATATATTAAACGAAAGTGTTATTTTATATGTCTGACATATACATCACTCGTCCGATAATTATTTACGACATTTATTAGGTGCGACACTGTCATCCAATGTCATGAGATTACGATGCCATAATATTTCATATCTCAAATTGTGAATGGATATAGTGTAGGCCACAATGAAACTCAGCAAAGAGCATGATCCACTTTTTTGGAGAATATAAGTAATAACAAGAATATTTTGAGGGGAAAATTTCAAATAAGGATCCGAAGTGCTCTCGTTTTCTCAATTAAGGGCCTAAAGTGAACCATGTGTCAAATAAGGATATGAAGTGCCCTCATTTTCTCAAATAAGGGCCTGAAGTGAACTTTGTCTTAAATAAGAGTATGAAGTGACTATCCTAGTCTAAAAAGGAGCTTGATCTCACCAGAGTCAAGGGCATTTTCGTCTTTTAATTTTTTTTCATAAAAAACAAACTCAAAATGAAAAAAAAAGCTAAAGTTTAAAAAAAAAAACAAATAAAAAAATAAGGGGGAGGGCTGGCAGCAGCCCTCTTGCCTGTGGTCACCGCCCCATCGTCGGTGGGGCGGCGGCGATGGCCGGCAGGGTCGCTGGCGTCTCGGCGATGACCAGCGACCCTTGCTAGCCAGAGGCGAAGGCCCGCTAGCCCTCGCCAGAGTCAGGAGAGGGCGGCGATCCTCTCCTAAATTTGGGCGAAGGTCGCTGGACCTCGCCGAGATCTGGGAGAGGGCCGCTAGACCTGGGTGAGGGCCGACGATCCTCCCACAGACTTGGGCAAGGGCCAGCAGGCCGTTGCCGCCGCCCCACCGGCGATGGGGTGGCAACCATAAGCAGGGAGGGCTGGCTGCCCAGCCCCCTGTTTTTCTTTTTCTTTTTTTAAATTTTTAATCTAATCTAACTAAAATTTATATTAAAATTATATTTGGACGAAAATGCCCTTAGTCGACTTGAAAATTTAGCCAGCCGGTGAGGTGAGGCCTTTATTTGAAACTGTTATAGCCATTTTAGGCCCTTATTTGAGAAAATAAGAGCACTTTAAGCCCTTGTTTAAGTCCACTTCAAACCCTTATTTGAAAAAATGAGAGCACTTCGAGTTCTTATTTGGAATTTTTCCTATTTTGAATGGACCGTTTTTGCAGTGTCATGAGTCGTAGTAAGTCATATCTCAAATAGCAAATATTGTGGATGAATGTCGAACATTATCGATACATAGTCCTACTTGTTATAGAAACCTAGGTCGTTAAAGAGAAACACGGATCATAGCTTAGTTTTCCTACTACTATAATCTCACTCAAAGAATGGTAGGATTATGAAAGTCTGAAATATGTGAACTCATTACATATAGGCGAAAGAAATATAGAAATACTTAGATTTGGTAAGCCACTTCTAACTGACGCGAAATAAAATTAGAGTGAATTATCCAAGCAAGTGATTCTTTGCACCTAAGCTTTAGGGAATCAAATCTACTTCGTGCTCAGTTTAATGGTTATAGTCGATAATCATTTTGTACCAGAAAACTACCTAATCAATTCTGAATTTATTGTACAGATATCAATTCATTTCGAAACTTTTTATTTTTGCCAATTTAGTCATGAACCTTTGCGAGAAATTCCAATGTAGTCATTTTCATCAATTTTTGCAGAAAATCGTTAATGTGGAGGTCTTGTCATTGCCGACTACCCTACATGGCACACTGCAAAGTCAACAATTTCCAACGAAATTTGGCTGAAAGAATTACATTGGAATTTCACGAAAAGGTTTAGGACTTAATTAGTAAAACGGGAAAATTTATTACTGAATTGACATCCATATAATAAGTTTAAGACTGATTGGACAATTCCCCCATTTTGTAAAGCTGGATACTACTAGGCCATGGCTCTACGAGATTAAACAATTATTAGTGTCATGGTATGAAGTTATTGTTTAGACTTAGTCTAACAAATATTGTCAATCCCATATAATAAGAAAAACAATGCGACCTCCATTGATCCCACATTTTTTCCATTGATTCCACTTAGAAACACGGTTTTATATAGTTTTTATTGATTACTACGTTGTCCATAAAATAAATTTATCTAATTTTTTTTAATTAGTAAGATTAGAGTATGACCAAAAAAATCAGGAAGATTAGAGGAGAAACTCTTCTGTAGACTCAGGTCCATGGACTCAAAGCAATCACGGCCATCGGTCATGAGGGACTCATCGGTAATGATAAACTCGGTATATGTAGATAAGCATAAAAAAAAGACAAAAAGAATTTTCGAAAGAGAGAGTCATCCACACAACTTCCAATATTGAGTGATGACAAGGATGGAGAATAGGGGTGAGCGTCGATTTGGTTCCAAGTCGGGATCGAGATCGATTTGACTAGTTCTAGGGGATTCCTAGTTCCCAAAATTTGGAACCAGTGGTTCTCGGTCCAATTCTTGATTCGAGGTGCGGAACCAGACCGCCCGGACCCGATCGGACTAATATATTTTTTTTTATAATTCTTTTGCTCTTAAAGAGTAAAGACGTTTGGGATGCATTCCATTCTTACCTTCAGCAGAAATGAAGTAATGACTACAAATTTGTTTGTCCATATATATGCATTTTTAAGTATTTAACATATGTTGATACAACGCCATGTAATAGAGTAATAACAGCAAAATCCAGTGGCAGACTAGTCGATCATCAATTAGCGCCGCAACCTAATCACATAAACATTTATTTAACGAAAGATGAAACTAATGCTCATTTTTTGTCTTTTAATGTTGGGAAACTCTCAGTTTTAGCTCTTTAACCAAGAAGATGCATATGGAAGGAACAAACAAAAATTGATGCGGAAAAGAACAAAATACAAGGTGTAACTATTTGAATTCATCGCAACATACTGAGGTACAATTGCTCTGGTAGATGGTGGAAGCGACATCACCATGTGCAAGCAAAAGCCCATTTGAAACTTTTGGAGTTCAAGATGTAAGGAATAGAAGAAACCAAAAAATTAAAAATTAACAAAGGAATTACCGGTTCTGGGACAGACCCTAGAACCTGATCGAACTGGTCGGTCTAGTTCAGAACTAGGAGGGCCGATTTCCGATTCCACAAACGGGGAACCGACCCTGTTCAGTCTAATTTCAAGGTGGGAATCGACCCAGCTTGAAACCGATCGCCCCTAATGGCGAAGCCCGAGTTGGTTAATCTACATGGCCTCGAAAACTAGGGCCGAGATTTGAGATGGCAATAGTTACCTTGCCTAGCAAGGTGTAGGGCATGAGGTGGGAATGGGAACTATGTTTCCATCTTGAGCGAGTCACAGGACGAAAATCCATTGGTAGGGAGTTTAAAACGGGCTATGTTTTCCTCCATATAGATTGATTTGAGGAATTTGATTGGCGAGTTATTTATATGAACATTATCTCTGTGCAAAC